GTGGATTGCTGGTAGCAATGGAGGCTTTTTGTTTGTTTGTTTTGTGTTTTGTTTTTGTTTTTTGTTGTTTTTAAAAAGCAGGAACAGTAACATTATTAGTTACCCAAACCTAAAACCTTCCTATCTGATCTTTGCCTTGTATTTTTGGAGCATGGGTAACAATTGAATATGGTCACAGATGATCACTGAGATGTTACATTCCTGCACTTTGATATCAATTTATTCTTTCTTATTTCTATTCTTTATTCTTTCTATTTTTTAATTAGAAGATCATGGACTCAGATTTTTATCTGACCATCTTTCTCTTTTGGAACTAATTAGAGAAACAAATCAAATCAGACTTGTGGCCTAATCCTCCTGCTTAGGATCAGAATTCTAGAACAGCAGAAAGTATTGAAAATGATTTGGAGGCCATGGTGCCATTCACTGTAGCTATAGAAATTTCCAAGAAAAAAGAATTGTTTGCAAAATGGTTTATTTTATCCATAGTTTGGCTTCTCTGAAACTTGGGGATTTTTTTTCAGGGGGATGTTCTACTGTACTGTAGTTGTTCTAGTCTAGCTAATATGTATGATAAGTTTCCATTTAGCTTTATTTTTATGCTTGCTGATAATTAGGTCCGTGCCAGCAGTAAGTGTAGAAGAGTATTGCTTTATTTATATCAATTACTGTTAGCTCTTATTGACATTGAAAGAGCCCCCACATGTCTCAACAAAACCAGCTCCCTCTCTGACAGATGACAGTACCAAAAGCAGGCAAGAGACTTTTCCCTGCAAGCTCCTTAAGGCATAGAATTAATGCATTCTGATTTACAGCAGCTATAGTCCTTGGAGTATTCACAGGGCTAGGATAGTGACAGGGAATGATACACGCTTATTGCACCACATTCTGAAAGCACATCTCCTTTAGATGTGTAACCTGATGTTATTTTAAATTGGTGGGGAACAATTTCTTAAGTTATAGATCTGTGTTTTCAAGAGAACAGAGAAAATTATGTAATGTTACACTGCTAATGTGACCCTTTAGCAGCACTTCCTTCTGAGGCCATGACACATAGTTTTCCCCTTCTCAGGGTATCAGTCCTAAGAGAGATAACCTGTATCACCATGAAAATGTTTTCTGTTTTCTGGGGTGGAAAAAAACTGTGAAGTATCTGACATAACACACCATGTCTCTTTTTTTCTTGCAGAGCCTCCATACAATTTAGAGATTGGGAAGACTCTCTCCCCCTTGGGAATTAATTAAAATTACTTTATTTAATCTCTGCAGACTATAGGTATTTGTATATCCAGTCCTCTAACATCTCTCCCTAGGAAAGTTTGCTAAAGAAACAGCTCAGTTTTTTCAGCAGAGGTAACAATGTTGCATATTTGCAATTATTATATCTTACACTAAGCATCTAAGTTAATACTTTCAGAATTCAGTTTAAACAACAAAACAAACTTCTAGTGAAAGGATAACTTTGCCTAAAGAGAAGATACTTTCTCTAACTGTACTTTGAGCTGTGTTCTCTTTAAAATGTTTTGCTTTAATGAGAGAATGTTGTAATCTGTTAAGCTTATGGTACTTTTGTAAAACTCAGCTAAAAAAAATAGAGCACATTTAACAAGAAACTTGGTAGCTTTGCAAGGAAGATTATTTTTATGTATTTTTGTTTATCACGTTTGACTCTTGCAGATTTTTGGTTTAGATGTGGCCAAAATTATGGTGTTTGGTGTCTAAAGACTGATGTGGGAGCTGGGAAGGCAACAGTTTTCCTTTTGCAACAACTCTCTCCCCTCCTGCATGGATGTAAACAAACTTTTAGCAGAAACATAGCACTGTTTCTGTTACAGACTGTCCAGCAGAAGGTAAAGGTACTGTGTCAGGTGCAGCAGTTGCCACACCTTTATAGGGGGACAGGGATGCATGGAAAGCATTAGCTGTATGTCTGAGGAGCCCGTCACCCTACACCAGGGCTTCCCCAGTGAGTTACTGTCCCAGCAGGCAGAGTGGCTCTGCCTCAGAGTGGTGAGACTCCCTGGTGCTACAGGAGGCAGGATATGTCCTCCAGAGGGAAGGAGCTCTCTGTCTTACACCACTGGGACTAATTGCAGATGACTGGATTTTGTCTTCCTAGTGAAAATTTCATTGGTCTTAATTAAGTTACCTTAACCTTTCTTTCTTGGTTTGCTGAACTCTGTGAACCTAAGATGTAGAAAAATAGTGGCTCCATAAGTAAGCTGCTCTGATCATAAAAAGAACTATGAGCCTGGGAGAAGTGATTTAAAATTCCTAATGAAAATTCCACTTGGGTCATCAAACTTAGAGCAGATGATTGTTATCACTATCACTGACCTTTCTTTCACATTCATTTGTGTGAGACTTGGCTGTTGAAGTTTATATCACTAGAACTTGCTTTGTATCCAGCACCTGGATAAACTCTGTAGGTTCAAAGTGGTATGAAGACAAGGAATTTTCTAGAGAAAAAAAGACATCACAAAAGACACTTGGTGTTATTTTTACTTCCTCACATAAGGTACAGTGTTTTAAAACATGTCTTGAGATGAGAGTTGTGTTTAGCAGGAATTTATCAACTGATCTAATGACTGCAGAGCCAACCAGATGTGTAATAAGCAGAGCTGGCTGACACATTCTTATTGGACTCCCAAATACGTCAAGTCAGAAAGACTGCTGCATCTTGCTTATTTAAAAGGTTTCTTTAAAACTGACTGTGCTTGCTTGCCTTAGAGGATGCATCAAGTGATAGGAAGAGCAGGTTAGAAAACAGAATCAAGACTGGGTTTCCAAAGTGGAAAAAACAGGAACACTCCTCATGAAAGCAGAACAGACTAGGATCATATACTGTGAAATAATAGAAAAATCTAAATGCATCTGGATGCAGTGATGAGTAATGGAGGTACCTTTCCTGCAGGACTATGGGGAGGCAGGCAGCACCCCAGTTTGAGACTGGCTCCAGCCAGGGCCAAATAGTTGGCTGAAAGCTGGGAATGAGTCAGGGGAGAGAAAATGGCATCAGGGCCTGGCTGCTCAACAGCAATGGGGGCTGTCAGCAGGACAGGTGGGCAGGTGACACAAGCAGGGAGGAGGCATGATGGCTAAAAAGAGATGCATGCTTCCTGCACCTCACAGAGAGGCCCCTCAGCTCTCGGCTGCACACACATGGGCTTCGCCATTGGGCCATGGCAGCCAGCAGCACCAGCTAAAGGAGCAGGGCCTGGTATGAGGGCAAGGAGGGGCTTTCCCTGGCATTTGCAACCCTTCCTCCCCAAAATTGTGCTATATTGATTTTGGAACCAGCATCATAACTTGTGGCAAAACACCTTCCAGGACACCTGCTAGGCAAAGGATTCTCTGCTGGGATCCCAGTGGGAATTTGTGATGTATGGCTTGGCAGACGGATGCCTCACATATTAATTCTCAGAATTTAGCCTGGGTCTCAGCATCATCCCTGGTGTCCATATCCCTTGAGATTTGGAAGGGCTGTGTCCCTGTGGGAGGGCTCATTCTGTGATTCAGACAGAACAGTGTTTGCAACCACCACACCCACTGAAAGGAAAGGGAGCACAATTATTACCGCAGTGATTAACAGTATTAAGTTAAATATTAATATGTGACAAAGGAGTGTTATTGGAAGGTTATCTTTAGCCCTCACTAGGAAAAAGCTTCTACACCCTTGGAGAAGGATTGTAGTAGCATACTTGTAACAGGAAAACTTGGAACTGCTAAAGAAAATCCTGAAGGTGGGAAATAAAATCTTAAAAAATTAAAATAGGATTGAAATCTATGGTGCAGTCACAACATGTGAGCACAAGGGACCTGTCACTGCCTTTGCATGTTCAGCCTGTGGACATGGTTGGAGGCAGGTTGTGGAGCTAGTGATAGGAGTACTGTCCTAGGGTGATGTTATGGTGTTTGTATCTCCAATCGTGTGTCCTGATTATGTTTGGTATTATGTCCTGTGCTTCCAGGACTGACTCTGAGAGTGAAGCTTTGTTTTGTCTTGTTATCAGCCAGCTCACCTCCCCAATGGTCGATGTTTAGGAGAGGTTTTAGCTCGGCTTGCCTGCTTGCTTGCCTGCTTGCTTGCCTGCTTGCTCGCTTCTGCCTCTTTTTCTTTCCTTTGCTTTGCCCTTGCTTTTTGCTTATTAGTTAGTTCAGCTAGGCAGTCCAACTTTTTCCCCTGGACTGTTTTCTCTTCCACCCCGTTCCCTCCCTCTCCTGGATACCATCTGAACCTGTTCCGGACGGGGACCTGGGAAACCCCAAGAAACACCGGGAGTCTNCGGACGGGGACCTGGGAAACCCCAAGAAACACCGGGAGTCTACACTCTGTCACCTGCAGCAGTCATCGCCAGCGACTGATAACTGAGCGACCACTCGCCAGAGAGACTGAATTTGTCATCCCTTCAGAACGGTGAAAGAGTTTTTTTGTCAGCTGGTGTTGTCTTTTTCCCTGTGCTGGGGAGTGTCTTGCTTGTTAAATAAACAGGTTTTTTCTCCCACTCTTCTCTGAGGAAATTCTTCCCAAACCGGGTGGTGGGGGGGAGGAGTCGTGGGGTTTGCTGTCTGGGGGCTCCTTCTGGAGGTTTTCCCCCAAATTTGCCCAAAACCAGGACAAGTATACGGTACAACTTTGCCTCTGCAGCTCAGTCCACAAAAGGAGCCTTTTGTTTGCAGGCTATGCATTTGTGGGGCTGTAAGGCACTTATGGGATAACTGTAGCTGAAAGGAAGGCAGAGGAAAAACCTGAAGGGGAATTGAAGGGGAAGGTCAACGGGAACAATAGTATTTTAGCCAGAAGGATTTCATAATTAAACAATAAATACAGATTTCAAATCGATGATAAATTCTGATTAAAGAACCTACAGAAAACTGAATCTGTGGTGGCTGAAGATATATTCCTCTCAGCAATTAATATCTCACAGCTGACTTTAAAATATCCCCCACGTTTCCCCCAGTCTAGAAAGTGGGGCTTAAGATGGCACAAGGAAACGAGCTGTGAGTGACCATTAAAGAAATATTTCAGGCTCACAACAACCAAAAATTAAGTAACTTTCTGCACAAAACAAGTACCTCCACCTTATTCAGTTGTTGTATTCTCTGGTAATCAAAAGGCATGATGGTCTGAAGCACCTAGAGCAGAAATTCCTGTGTTTTATAGGTGAAAGGTTTAGGGAGTCATCATGTATTTCTGCTATTTATCCCTTTGACTATTTCATTAATCTGTGAAAAGCATACTGTGTATTAAAAATGAAAACCATATAATTAGAGCAGAATCTCAGCTTAGTGAGACACTCTTTCCTCCTCTGCTCCCAACAGTGAGTAACACTTTCAACTGCTGTTGTACAAATGCCTTTGAAGCACAGTGCCTGTGTTGGGAATAATGGCAAAAATCAAGTAAATAGCAGGTACTGGCTGATCCATGAGGGATTAAGATTTAAACACATATGCTTGACTTGATCCTCATTCATTCCGTAAAATTAGAGAGTATCAGCTGGCTGACTGTTAACAAATGAGACTGTCAGCTGGCAAATTAAAGGGAATTTCAAACAAATGTGGACCTTCAGCAAGAAAAGACCGGTCAAGTGCAGCAGTGGGTGTGGAGAAAGAACAAAGAAATCTGTAACTGACTGTGATCAATTATAAATACCACTGCCATCGGACCAGTCAAAGAAGCGCTCGGCAGGATAGATATTTATAGCTCTGAGAAAGGTGCACCGTTGTTGTTACGATGGCTGTGCTAATATTCTGATCTGTCAAAAACAAAGGGTTGTGGGTTTCTCTTTCGAAAACAACAGGCTACGTCTCTCCTGAAGTCCCATACGTGTTAGATTTCGTGTGGGAACTCTCCTGGAAGCATCTTCGGGCACCGCTGCCTGCTGGGTAAGTGCTATGCAGATGAGCCATGGAAATACATGGAGGCTGCGGGGGGAGGCGGTTGTGCAGCGGCATCTTCCTCTCGGCCTCGCAGGCGATCTTTGATGCGAGCAAAAAGGCTGCTCACAGATAATCTTTAACCAGCGAAGCGTGCAGTGTTTACTATGTGAGTTTACTGAGTCGGCAGAGACAAACAAGAAGTCTCGCAGATATATCTGAAGATATATCATATTCTTTCAGTTGCGTCTGCTGTAGCTCGTAACAAACAGCACACACCGTTCTCTGCTCAAGAGGGGATGCCGAAGCCTTGGCTCTTCTCCACACCACATCAGCACTGCAAATGAGGAGATGGAGAGGCCAGGAGCAAATGAGTATGGATGGGATCCGGATCTCAACAGTTACTAAGAAACTGTTGTTGCAAAATAGAACTTTTATAGGGGTAAAGTGAGCACATTATTAAAAAAAAAAAAAAAAAGTCGTGCTGTTTTTGTTTTGGTTGGTTGGGTTTAGTTGATTGGTTTGTTTGTTTTCTTTTCTGGCAATATTAGAGCCAAAGGGCATCAGTGACAAAGCAAACTCAAAAGGTAGAGTTTCAGTGAAATACTTTCCTTGCAAACAAAATGACCTGAATAAGACTCTTCCTCCTGCCCCAGGCATTCCCACATCCACCTGCCTCTCAGCAACTACTTCTAAGTAAACCCATACACCCTGGGAGAAAGCGGTCTCAGTTTTGCATACCAAAACCCCCATGTAATATGTGGAGGGTCCTGGTTAGTGCAGACCAGCTCAACCACAAAATTAAAAGTCTAAAAGGGCACAACTGGGAGGGCAATGCACCGCAGCACTGGGTGTAAAGATTTTGATTGGGATAGGGGTGATTTCCTTCCTTCCTAGCAGCTGGTACAATGCTATATTTTGGATTTAGTATGAGAATAACACTGATAATACACTGATGTTTTAGTTGTGGCTGTCCAGTGCTTACCATAAGTCAAGGACTTTTCAGCTTCCCATGCTCTGCCAGGGAGTAGGTGCACAAGACTCTGGGAGGGAGCATGGACAGGATAGCTGACCTGAACTGGCCAAAGGGATATTCCATAGGAGAGAATGTCATGCCCAGTACATAAACTGGGGGGAGTTGACAGGGAGCCACTGACCACTGCTGGGGTGGACATCAGTGAGTGGTGGGTGAGCAATAATGTGAATGACTTCTCTTGGGCTTTTTTACTCTGTCTCTCTTATTTTCCTTATCATTAACGTTATTTCAATTATTAAGTGTTTTTTATCTCAACCTGTGTGATATATTTTTCCCATTCTCCCCATCCCAGGGGAGGGGTGGAAGCGTGGAGAGTGAGCAAACAGCTGTGTGGCACTTATTTGGCATCTGGGGTTAAACCACAGCACTGGGACAGAAGTTTTTCCACCTTCCAAAATCAGCATTTCACTCACTGCTGTTTCATCATGCTGCAGTTCTTTTCACTGTCCCCTTTCTGCTCACCTCAAAAAGAAGACCTTTTGAGCACCTCTGCAGTCTCTTTTACTGACCTACCTCTAAAGTCCTGAGGTCACACCCTTTGCTCCTGATTTCCCACCTGCAGACCCACCATCTCCCTTGTATTGACACAGCTAATCTTGGAAAGCGATACAGTGGCAAATAGCAGTTCAAATGTTACCTTTTCAGCCCAAGAGTGCACAGCAGCTACTAGGAAAGGCAGAATTGCCCGGGAAAACCTACAGGAGCCTGATTTTAGATTGTCTTCAAATTGCACAGTAGCTCACTGTCTCATCTCAGGAGTAGGTTTAATAATCCTAAAGAGAGTAAACATCACTCCTAGGGACTTCAAAGAGAGTGGCTTCAAATATTCCAGAAACTCAATTCAGCTTGATGTCTGTGATCTCTCAGGCTTCTTTGGACTATAAAAAGCGAAAATACAGTCATTCCTTGCTCCAAAAGGAGAATAGAAAATTAAGTTATTTTCAAAAATTTAGAATAATGTCTGAATTTCAAAATTTGAGCTATTCTGCTCTCTATTTATAGCATTTGTTTAGAACCAGAATAAAAAGTTTTAGGTTGGTTTGTTGTTGTTGTTGTTGTTGTTGTTGTTGTTGTAGAATACTGGTATCCTGATGGCACCATGATTTATGTATTTATTCACAGCAGTGCTGCAATTTCATTCCAACACCCATTGAATGCCAGAATTTTTATATTCTGAAACCAGATAAACCAGGAAGTGAAGAGTCAAAGCTTCATCCAATTTGTTCTTTTTAGAGGCATAACATTCTGTTGTGCTTGAGACCGAGCAGGTTCAGCCTGGGTCTGAGAAAGCACAAAATAAAACAAGTTAGGGGCACCAAAACAGTGTCTCTTTCATGGGAATGTAGTTTTCAGCCAGCAACAACAGCCAAATCTTCTCTTTGGTTCTTCTTCCTTAAACTGAAGACATTATTACCTTTCCTGATTTATTCAAAAATCAAAAGTGGTGGGGTTTTGGTTGTGGTGGGGTTTTTTGTGTGTTTGTGTGGGTTTTGTTTGTTTCTTTGTGTTTTTAAGTCTTGCCTAGTTCTTTTTGGCTGCATAAACATACTGAGCAAAAAGGTAGGCAGGTAAAAAAACAGAAAATTATTTAAAATGCAATGGAAGGGATGTACACGCAATTTGGAATGATTCCTGAGATTATTTGCTACCTCTCACTTTTGTCAAATACTTTGGTAATACTGCAAATATGTTTGGTTAGGGATTTGTTTATGCAACTCAGTCTGCTTGCGCATGTTTTACATCAGTAATATAGTATCCAGGCTTCTTCAAACAAGTTCCTAATCTGACAAATTTTTTGGACTTTGTCACAGTTGGAATCCATTTCACTTGCTAGTACTTCAAAATCTGTGTAGGATTTTTGTGGAATTTATTGTCTTCAAAAAGTTGGCAAAATTGGGCCACTCTCAGCTGTCTTTCAATGCTTTTGTGCCATTGTTGCAAATGGGTCCAGCCAGCGAATATAATTGGAAGCTCTTTCTTTTCCCCCTTAAGAGAGATTGTGTATTTTCCTTGAATCTTCTTACCCCTTTTTCGTGTGTATTATTTTAAAACAAGGCCCTACTTACCTTCACAGACACATCTTTTACCTATTGCAGAGATTCCCAACGAATTAAATCCTTGAATCTATTAATCCCTTATCATGGAAAAAACCCAAAATGTTTGTAAACCCCACAGCATTGTTCTGAGGGCTTCATCTTTGTCCTCCTTCCAGCCACATTCCCCCAGGCCTCAAATTTGGTACTATTTGTTGCACTAATTAGATACCTAGCAGTATGAGCTGGGCTTCAGGGTTAAATTTTGGGTTATGTGTCATCTTCTCTACCACCTCTTTAAATGTACATTTGAAAATACAAGCTGGAGACTTGTTACGTGTTCCAGAAGAGCTCATCTAGCATGAAGACCCACTCTGAATGTAATAATATAGGGTTTTTTTATAAGAACTCAAGAGGATTTCTTTATGTGGCTTGTATTAATTTGCTTGCTGCAAAAAACTGCTCTTCTGACTAGCCCTGCTTAATGCTGACTTCTTCTCTCTTGTGACCCACTCTCTCTGTGTTTAGCTGTGTCCTTAGAGACTTAACACACAATCAAAATATTTGACATTTTAAATTAGAGGGTAAATGTTGCTACAGGAACCTTTAGGAATACTTCTGTAAGGTTACTTTAAAATAATTATTACAGATGGAAAAGAAGGTGACAAAGATTCTACAATGTGCTTCAAATACAGTGTGCTACATTGCACTTAAAAATCTAATGTTAGTGATGGGGGTACAAGCATTCACTAAAATGACCTCATTTGACACTTCAACACGCACTGTTAGCAACATTCCCAGGAGTGTTTGAGGAAAGCAAGAAGACACATGATTGGATGAGCTTCTTCATATCATCTTTGCACCTGGCAATACAAAGAATGAGAGGCGTCTCCTTCCACTGTGTAGGAAGGAAAAATAACTTATATTAGTCAAAGCATTTTCCTCAATAAAAGTAGGTGCTTGAGAAGAAATGCTTGATGAATAGTGCTGATTTTAGCAAACAATAGTGTAGCTAGTATCTCAGAAAGGAGTTTTGTTAATCAGGATACTCATTCAAACACTGAGGAGTAAAACTTCCTTGATTTCCACAGAGCTCTAATCTATCTCAAGAAAATAAAGGAGTCAAATTACCCTGCTGAGGGATTTATTCAGGATTTTTCCTAGTGAAATAATGTGGCAATAGGGTAGCATTGGGTGGAAATAAGGTCCCAAAATCACCTATTTTATCCTTTACTTTATAATTACTAGGAGAAACAGGGTTTGGTTTGTGGGCGGAGTTTTTTTGATTGGTTGGTTTTTGTTTGTTTTACTTTCCTGAATGTCCCTGGATTAATAAAGTTTTAAAAAGCATCGTAAGTGTAGCCAAGAAGCAGTAATAAAACAAGTGTTTGGTAATGCAAATTTCCCACTGATAGCTGGGCTTCCTGGTCAAAATCAGCTAAATATTACAGTATGGCACTAATTTTCTTTGAAATGCCTTCTTTTTGTTCTCTGTAATACAGGCTCTCTAATTCACTTCAGACTTGCAAGTGTCTGCTGAAGAAAAAAGATTCATTGAAAAACTTATTTATTGCTAGCATATACTGCTTCTGTCTCCTTCCCAGGAGTTTTAGTAAGACCATAACACTACAGAATCATCAGAAGCCATATATAGCAGCAGAACAACTGCTCTGCTGTTCTGCTTTTGCTTTATGTCTATAAATGTAGTAGTAAATGGCAGGATAATTCAGAGATTGAAGGAATGATCAGACCGGGAAGTGGTCTGGGGCAGGGAGTCTTTGTTGTTTCACCTAAGGGAAAAGCCTATTAATTGGCACTTAAGTAATTAGAAATTTGAATACTACTTTTCAAGCTTTTTCAGACATGGGGGAAAAATATTTTCTAATTTCTCTCTTTCTATGCTAAAGGTACAGCATAATTTAGAAAAGCTAGTAAACAAAACGTTGCAATTTATTAAGTGCATTAAATGGAGCAACAAGTTTTTCCACCTCTACAGGCAAGAAATCACAAGCAAAATATTTAAATGCTCGTGATGTTCATGATTATTAGCGACTTGAAAATTATTTTCTCAATGATTAATCCTAATCTTATTTGCTTCTGTCCAGAAAACTTTAGGAAATGTCACCCGGAAATTGATTTCTATCAATTGCAAATAGGAAAATTATTTTGCTTTTTATTTTCTTTTGACAGCCCTGGCCAAATCTACTCAGAAATTTCTTTTTGCAGTTTAAACTGCCTACCAAGAAGTCTCCTGATAGTCTCTGTACATCATCTTTCTAGTTCAACTTGTTCTTCCAAAGTTAAATTGATATTGCAATTTCCTAATTTATGATGTCATGTCATCTTACTCAGGAGCTGACAGGTGCTGAAATCTTAATGCAGTAGTAATGTTATGCCCTGTATAAACTG